GGAAAGAGAGAGAAGGAAAGAAGAAGGAAAAGAGGAAGGAAGGAAGAGAAGGGAGAGAAAGAAAAGGAGGGAAAGAAAAGGAAAAGGAAGGAAAGGAGGGAAAGAAAGAGGGCAAAGAGATGGGGGAGGGGGAGGCTCTCCCACCTCCCCACTCAAGCCTCTGCCACCACCCCCCACCCCCGTGGATCCCTCACTTACCCCACTCCAGCGCTGGCCCGGGGAGGCGGCGGGGGGCCCCTCTTCTGGTTTCCCCCGGGTTGCGGCGCTCTGTCGCTGGCCCAGGGAGGTGGCAATGGGCATCCTCCGACTTCCTCTGGTCCGCAGCGGCGACAGGCCTCCTCGAGCCTCCCTGAGGCCGAAGCGCTCCGGCACGGGCCGAAGAAAGACGGCGACGGGCCTCCCTGGGGCCGCTGCACTCTGGCGTGGGGCCCGGTAAGGCGGCGATAGGCCTCCTCGAGCCTTCCTGGGGCTGCAGTGCTCTGGTGCAGGCCCCAGGAAGACAATTATGGGCCTCCCAGGGGCCACAGCACTCCGCCGCAGACCCCAGGAAGGCGGCAACAGGCCTCCTCGAGCCTCCCTGGGGCCGCTGCGCTCTGGCACGGGCCCCAGGAAGAAGAAGAAGAAGAAGAAGAAGAAGAAGAAGAAGAAGAAGAAGAAGAAGAAGAAGAAGAAGAAGAAGAAGAAGAAGAAGAAGAAGACTTACAAACTCCTTTCCCTCCCCACAACAGACACCCTGTGAGGCAGGCGGGGCTGAGAGAGCTCTGACACAAACGGCTCTTTTTCAAGGACAGCTGTGCCAGAGCTTGTGACTGACCCAAGGTCACATCAGCAGGTGCAAGTGGAGGAGTGGGGAATCAAACCCGGTTCTCCCAGATTAGAGTCCGCGCACTTAACCACCACACCAAACTGAAAGACGGTGACAGGCATCCCTGGGGCCACAGCGCTCCAGTGCGGGCCCCAGGAAATCAATGACGGGCCTCCCTGGGGCTGCAGCGCTCTGGCGCGGGCCCCAGAAAGGCAGCGACGGGTCTGCTCTGGCCTTCCCGGGGCCGCAGCACTCTGGCGCGGGCCATGGAAAAACAGAGACGGGCTACAGCACGGGGAGCTGGGGGCGGGGCTTGCTGCCACCGCCATTTTGTCAGTTCCTGGGCTCCCGGAGCACGGCTCCGACACGCTCTGGCCCCCAAAGACCCCTGGCTGTCAGCATAGATCAGGGGTGCTAGGCCCATCGGATTGAAGATGAGTTTTAGCCAATAGTTAGATGCAAGTAGCCATATGTGAGTCTCCAAGGGGATCAGCCCAGTTTCTAATCTAAAAAGGGCATTTGGGATACATCGCAGGACTCCAAGGATTGATTGTGGGAAATGGGATTGTACGGTTTCCAGTAAGCACCTTTCTTTGTAAATACAGAGGTGGGAACCCATATAAAAGCTGGAACACAACCTTTCCTTGGAAGACCTTAATTGCTGCAGGGATGAAGGAGGCTCCTTATGTAAGGATGAATTTTAGAATGGTGGAGGATACTCTGTGGGCAGTCTCTGCAGCATGCGGTACTTGAGCTCTCCGTTGTCCAGATGACCTGAAGACTACACCAGGGTATGTAAAGGTGTTTGTTTGTTTGATGTTATGGCTCTCTATGGGAGGCAAGAGGGTGGCTGGCAACTAGATGCCTTTCAGAGACCAGCTTGCTCTTTCTTATCTTTCTACTCTTGTCCTCTCAGCTCAGTTTTAATCAGACTCCCGCATGGATTCATTTTAATTAAGGATTAAATAACACCTTCTATTGTTTATCTCCTGGCTACACAAGAAAGCTTTTCTACAGACGCCCGGTAAGAAGAGTGGCCTTCGGGGGGGGGGGGGGGGGGGGGGCACAAAAAAACCACATGGATCCTCATTCCCCATCTAAGTCAGCAAAACAGCTTCGTTAGGAGGACCTTATCTCAGGAGTAAGATAGTAAGTGACCTTCCTGGTTTTGCCTCCCCAAATAAATATGCAGTTTTGGAGACAGAATCTAATACCCAGGAAACTCAAGGGAACCCCCCCCCCCAATGCCTCCAATCCTCTCACAAAAGAGAAGGTCACAGACCCAAAAGAACCCTTCTTCCTTACAGAAAGCCACTGGGGAACAGAACATTTATAAAATTTCCTAAAAAAGAACCCGCTAGATTTCATTGGTGATCACTGTTTCCTTACTGGCCAAACAGTTATAGCCATCTTCCAGCAACTAAACTCCATATTCCATCAACTGGATTTATTTCAAGAGACTCTATCTACAAACTCCAATCACAGTCGAAAACCTCCCCCGACACAGAAAATCCAACTGTGTGGGAAGATGGATCAATCTCAAACCCAAAATCGAAAAACTTAAGGCGTCTACCCAGTTCTGAGTCAACAAAATATCAATAACAACTATCTGAGAGACCACAGGAAAAAACAAAGGAGGAAACTCCTGGTGTCTCACGCCAGCTGTTAAGAAACCAAATTGCCCTGTTTATAACAGAAAACTATGTAAACAGAGGACATTGGGTAGCCAAAAGAACAGTTTTGAACTCCCTGAACCAGCTCCTGTGTATAGAGCCCTGGTCTGTTGACCCTGAGGATATTGAAAGGCTCCCTAAAATGACTTGCAACTAAAAATACTCCTGAAGTTTAACAGCCCCATAAATCCAACTATGCTTCTAAAAGTACAGAAATGTTTGAGTACCTTCTGAATTTTTGCCAGTAGAGTTTTTCCTGATGAGTGTAGAGCCACACAGGCACAGATGACTCCCTCTGCCCCTAATTATGCTGTTTCCATGAATGCCAGTAAAAGGACTCCAATCTTATCTGAAAAGTACTGAGAAGTACTTTTATTAAGCAGGAACAAGACAAAGGTAAGCCGGCTCGCAGGCCGGCTTATATCCTCCGAAACCCACCACCTAAAACACACCCACTATGTCCCTATAGGCTATTTACAGTGGCCGAGAGTCCCATAGGCTCTCGGCTGCGGACCTAGCCCTCTGATAGGTGCGGGCTAGGATCCGCTGGACTATTGTTCTCCTAGAAGCGAAGCTCTGCTGTTTGGCCTGACCGCATGGCCCAACGGTCGCGCACGTGGTCATGGTGGAGTACATTACATTATCTCACCCACAGGAAGTAGACTTGAATCAAGCTCGGGCCTCTCTTGCCATAGAATGCTACCAGACAAACTCCTGGTCTGGTTCTTAAACGTGCTTCTTTCACTGTTTTATCTCCCATGCCGTTTATCTTCTGTGCCAAGATGGCGGGGGAGTGAATGCTGGGGTGAATGTGTGCTTGAGCTTGTGTAGTACATACGGAACCCTGGGAAGCGCATGATCTCAGCTTCTCGCCTGACCTTGAAGGGATGTAACTGTTACTATGCAGGTGTTGGGCTGGCCCAGAGGGTAGGCCTAGAGATTTGGCGGGCTGGCTGTGAACATTCATTGGGTGGTTTGCATACAGGGGCTGTTCTGTTTTTTGTATAGGGTTGGACTTGGCCTCCAGTGGCCAGTTCTGACACAGAATCGGTCTACGTTTGAAATCTCTTTACCTCCCAATAAACAAACCTTGCTGCAACAAGAATATCATGAGAGTGATTGAGTCCAGGATTTGACAGCTTGCAGCCAACATCATCCACCAAAACACAGAGTGAAATGCAGCTGCACAACTTCACAAAAAACTCTGTCTGCAGGACAGCATAATGATATAGTCTGTTTTGCTTGATTTAAAGAGTTCTTTAAATCAATTTGTGATCTAGAGCTGAGCGATTAAAAAACCTATGTCAGAAGTTGGTTTCAGGGAAAGTCTTCCATTGAGACAAAGCTAAACTCCAGACAGAAAAACAAGAAGCTTCCTTAATAACCCTTGATTTAAGTTTAAACCATGACCTTGTAGATATTTATGCAAACTCTCAAAATCCCTCAAAACCAAACTCTGAAAATCTAAATACTGTAATTGACCTTTGCAAAAACAATTCTCAGTCTAGCTGGAGTGAGGCAGACCCCATGAGCCCTTCCTCCCTTGAATTCCTAATAACACAGGAGTTGGTCACTTTGCAGCAACCTCTCACAGATCTTTTTAACCTCTCAACTCCCAAACAACCCACTACCTGGGCAGAAAGTTTGCAAACTGATGCAAAGGTTGAATCTGACACTCAACCAAGAAAGATGACGTATCGATCCCTTTGGCCCAAGGTCCAAAAACACAATTAAATTCCTAACATGGAATATGTATTACTCAAAGAAATCTCTATTTTGTATATATTTATGTTTCTAAATAAAAAAAATTAAAAAGACTTACCTCTTAAGTGAAACTTTGGCCTCCACATATTTCCCGATGATTGAACCTGACCTTTGATTTCTGTTGGCGGTTGGAACACTCTTCCTGCATTTCTAGAGAAATATTTTATTGATATGTATGAGTGAGGGAGCACTTCTAAGCAGCAGTACTCAGAAGTAAGCCCCATTATATATGGTGGAAGTTATTCTTAGGATTGTAGCATTAAGAATATAAAATGTTTATATTTCCCGCTTTCTATTTTCTCTTCCCTGACCTGGATGGTCTAGGCTGGACCAATCTCAAATTATTCCTATGAGAAGGAAAAATGGGAGGAGCCTAAGGAAGCCAAAGTGGCTACATAAACAGCTTTCTTAAAGATCTGAGAAATAAAAAGACTCATTTAGGAAATGGAAGGAGGGCCCCAAGGATGAATATACACAATTAAATAGTGCTTGTAGGGAGAGTGTTAGAAAAGCTAAAGCTCAGTATGAAAAGGGTTCTTTTGTTATGTTCAAAGTAAGAAAATTTATTATAATTTGCAGATTATAATAAATTGGGAGGGATAGCAAATATGGTAGAATACAGAGTCAGGATACAGCATGATCCTGACAGGCTGGAAAACTGGGCTAAAACAAAATAAATTCCAATGGGCATAAAGTTCTGCATTTAGGTAGGAAAAATCAAATGCATAATTATAGGATGAACGAGACTTGTCTTGGCAGTAGTATGTATGAAAAAGATCTAGGGGTCTTAGTAGACCATACACTGAACATGAGTCAGCAGTGTGATGCGGTAGCTAAAAAAGCAAATGCGATTTTGGGCTGTATCAACATGAAGTGATAGTATCACTTTACTCTGCTCTAGTTATACCTCACGTAGAGTATTGTGTTCAGTTTTGAGCACCACAGTTTAAGAAGGATATAGACAAGCTGGAACATGTCCAGAGGAGGGCAGGTGAGGGGTCTGAAGACCAAGTCCTATGAGGAAAGGTTGAAGGAGCTGGGCATGTTTAGCCCGGAGAGGAGATGACTGAGAGGTGATATGATAACCATCATCAAGTACTTGAAGGGCTGTCATATAGAGGATGGTGTGGAGTTATTTTCTGTTGCCCCAAAAGGTCGGACCAGAACCAATGGGCTGAAATTAAATCAGAAGTATTTTCAGCTAAACATTAGGAAGAACTTCCTGACAGAGCGGTTTCTCAGTGGAACAGGCTTCCTCGGGAGGAGGTGGTGGGCTCTCCTTCTTTGGAGGTTTTCAAGCAGAGGCTAGTTGGCCATCTGACATCAATGCGGATTCTGTGAACTGAGGCAGATCATGAGAGGGAGGAGGGCAGGAAGGGTTGCCTCCGTGCTTAGTTCTTGTGGCCCTTTCTTACACAGCCTGAGAAATGCTGATGGCCACTTTGAGGTCAGGAAGCGCTTTTTCTCCAGGCCAGTTTGGCCAGGGATCCTAGAGGTTTGGTTGTTCCCCTCCCCCCCATCTTCTGGGCGTGGAACAGCAGTCACTGCAGGTGTGGAGGGGGAGGTATTTGTGAATCTTCTGCACTGTGCAGGGGTTGGACTAGATGACCCTGGAGGTCCCTTCCAACTCTATGATTCTAAGTCTGCTGCAACTTGATGGCACTTTCCACCACCAGCAACTCTCTCCAAAGTGGCGTAGAGAATAAAAATAATTGCAAAATAAATAAAACTGAACAGCTCATGAGGACAGAAGCATTTAGTGGGTTGGTTAGGGATTCTCCCAGGTAGCCTCCGCATGCACCGCAATGACACAACCCTGATGGCAACAGCAGCAGCAGCAGGGCCGGGGAAAGAACATGTTATGCAGCAGAGCGAGCAGCACAGGAGAAAACAGCAGCATTGCACCACTGTAATGCTTTATTCCTCATAAAGTGTAACTGCCTTCTTCCACCCACCTGATATTTCACTCAAAGAATATCCTTGGCAGGCAGTGTAATTTGGCACATTTCAGATAGATTCATTGAAAAAACAACAGCAAGCAGCAGCAGTTTTTTTAAAGGGTTTGGTGGGGTTTTTGCTATTCTTAGGCCCCGGTCATACAGGCCGGAAAATGCGGGGGGGGGGAGTGTGGCTGTTTGCCCCGGAGCAAAATAACGCGCGACTGCGCGATCAGGCGTCCGGTTGAGGTCCCGTTGGGGTCCCATGGTTAGGGGGAGGTGCCGATCACACGACGCGGCAAAGAAGCGGGGCAGCGCGGCAAATGGGGTTGTGGGGTTTTTTAAACTGAAATGTGTGCATGCTCCGTTGGGTGCTTGTGCGCATCCCATGGAGACTTGGGGGAAAAAAAACATTTTGCGAAGGGACATGGGCGGGCGCCGGATGCCACCGGAAACACGATCAGACACCCACCCTTGCCCCACGGTTTCTGGAAACTAGTACCTCGGAGGTACTAGTTTTTTACCCCGCATCTTCGGTGGGAAGCCTTGGGTGAGCCACAGGAGCTCTACGCTTCCCAGATGTGGCGCTGTGATCGCGCCCGGAAAATCCGCCTATCTTCCGTCTCTCTAGCGTGGCTAATGCTCCGTGTGACCGGGGCCTTAATTGGCCTGCAAATGATGTTGAATATCATCCCTATCCGATTTTGATTTCTCCAAAATACCTGAAATATCCCCATGTGGGGGTATTGTTTGTTGACTTTGTGTATACCCTGCCCGTCTCCTCAACGGGGACCCTAAGGGGCTTACCCTCCATTTTATTCACACAAGAACCTTGTGAGGTAGATTCACTGAGAGCATGTGACTGGCTCTAGGTCACCGAGTAAACTTCCACGGCAGGGAGGGGATCCAGGCCGGGGTCTCCAAAACCCTGACACTCTAAACGCTACGGAAACATTGTTTGTGCTTAAAGCTGTGAGACTCTCAAGCCTGTAAGTTAATACTGTATTAAATTAAAGGCACGGTAAAGTAAACCTTCCCATGCAATATGGGCCCTAAAGAAAAATGGCTGCCAACTACAGTGACCTGCTAAAGCACAGCCAGTGATTCTTTTAAAAAGAACTAAAAACTGACGGTACATAAATATGGCTGTGGCTATGCTCTTGGGAAGCTGCTATTCATTTCAATTGATCAGGACAGCTTTGTATGGATTATGTCCTATGCATACCAGCTGCCTATATCTGCCAGGAAGCTTCCCTTTCTTTGAAATGCCAGTTTTGGCCACATCTGGGGTCTCAGTGGAAAGTGCAGCGTCTCCAAGACAGAATGGGGCATGCTGGTGTTTTGGCGCAAGACTGTGGAGGGAGGGGAGGGGAGGGAAGAAAACAGCAGTGACTAAGGAGGCAACTGGTAGGATTGTGGCACATACGCTTGCCAAGTCCCCCCGGGGGGCGGGGAACCCCCCACCCCAGAGGCCCGTTACCCACCGCCAGTGGATCGGGCCCCGGGGGGAACCCCAACCCCAAAGCATGTGACGTGCCTGGTGTCAGCACGTCACGTTGGGCGTGCCGGGGGTGGGGCCCACAGTCATCCGAGGGAAAACTCTATGTTTTTCCCTCGGATGACCATGGCCCCACCCCCGGCACGCCCGACGCGACCGCGTCACTTCCGGGTGACGTGGTTGCGGCGTGCGCGCTCCTGGGACGGAGCTGGAGTCCCCCCCTGTACATACAGCAGGGACTTGGCAACCCTAGTGGCACAGCCACTATTCAGAGCCTGCTGTACATCCCACTGTACCACCATGTACAACCAACAAAGTATAGAGATCAATATCTTCAAAATAGGTATGATGTGACAATGCTTTTTTGGAGTATGGGGCTGCACATGCAGTCGTTTCTCCAACATGCAGAGTATCTTAACTGCAGTGCCAACATAGTTCCCAGACTAATGAACTGAAGTAAGAGATTGAGTTTTGTGGCACAAGTAAAAGCTGAATGTACCCATGATCAGAAAAAAGCTAGACAACTGAAGTGGGATTTCTTTACCTGTAAACAGATGTCGCGTTCATCTTTTAGATATTTGTTCCTTTCTCTGTAGGGTGAAATTGAGACATCAGTTATATTCCTCCCCCAGTTGTTTGGGGTTTTTTCTTGATAAAATTGCTGTCAATGGCTTGAGATAATGATTTTTAAAAATAGGCCTAATGTGTGGAAACAGGCAGCTGAAGTTCTTCATAGTATGAAGGTAAATAATATCAACTGGTAAATAACATCCTATTCAGTCTTTTAAAGGGACAGGAGATTTTTGTCTCAGGAAGTTAGCAACCCTAGTGGTTACACGGGCCTGAAAATGCGCACGGGGGGGGGGGAGCGTGGCTGTTTGCCCCGGAGCAAAATAATGTGCGGCCACCTGATCACACGTCCCGTCGAGGTCCCGTGGTTAGGGCGTGAGGTGCCAATCACACAGCTATCCTGCAGTGTGGAAAAGAAGCGGGATGGCGCAATCACACCTGCAATCGCTAGGTGCCGCTTCCATGGCAAACAGGAATATTTTTTTTCTCCCCAAAAGGTTAGCATGCGCATGATCGTTTGTGCGCATCTTGTGAAGACTTAAAAAAAAAACCTAACCGGTTTGCGACGGGACTAGGACGGGACGCGATCAGAAGCCCACCCTTGCCCCGTGTTTTCCAGAAACTAGTACATCGTAAGTACTAGTTTTTTACTCCGTATCTTTGGCACAAAGGCACGTTTTAGCCACGGGTGCACTACACTTCCCAGATGTTGCGGTGTGATCGCGCCCAGAAAATCCGCCTGTCACCCGTATCTTTAGCATGGCAAATGCTCCGTGTGAACGGGGCCCATGAATACGAATGCACCATTACACAAAGGAATTGTATGGTCCACCATCTGACATGCTGTAGCAGCTGGTGAAACATATTTGATTATCGTAAATATGATAACATATTACAGAACAGCTGAGGGAAACCCTGAGCTCCTTGCAGAAAGGGTAGCATACAGATGTGATTGATTGACGGACAGCAGTTACATTTAGCCTAGTATACGTTTAGCCAAAAGAATAGACTCCCTCATTGCTTTTAAGTGAGGTGACCAGACACAGAACTATAGTGCCCTATATCCCTTTCACCATCCACCTTGTATCGGCTGAGATAATAAATGCTGATGAATGTGTTTGACTTGCATTTGTTCAGAGTAGTAACTATGAAAAGGTCTGTTGTATAACAAGAATTTTTAAAAAAGAAAACTGAGTTGGTCTTCAAAGCCAATGCAGGGCAGATTATTTCAGAGGACATGAACACAGCATGCCACAGCCTGAAAACAGGGATGTTCCAGCCGTTACTCTTGGAATGGAAAAGGGGATCTTTTAAATACACAACAATGCTCCTGTTGGTCTGTGTGAAATGTTGGTGGGTATAGTAGTGCTGTACATATGGTCACCATTTAGTACATAATGGACAAATATTTTTCTTTCCCCATATTAAAGATATGGCTGTTGCCCTTGCGTGGGCATTATTAATTTCTACCACCTGTGATACACACACACACACACACATTGTCATGAATGAGAAGCTGTTTATCTTTTGAAAATGTACACATCTATGTGAACCCCGCCATAAGCAGCCTTAAGTTACACTCAGAAAGGGAGGCAGAGAAGTACATATGTGGTGAGAACCAGAGGAGATGAGAATCAGAAGAAGCTTTTGCACCATCTGGATAGGTTGTCACCAGAGAGATGAGGCAGGTCGGTTTTAATGTCCCGGCTTGGAGCCCTAAAAATCAGTGGTGCAAAAGACTGCAGTATTGGGTAATGCAGATTTGGTGGGAATTGAGAAGCCAAGTCCAAAGAAAGGATTGGTTCTACAAAGCTCATCCCAGCTGGGAGGTAAAATTTAAAACAGTCTATTTGGACAGACCGTGCCAAAGGATGAGAGAACAGGAGAGAGCAAAGGAACCTCCCAAGACAGGAGAACAGCAGTTCCTGTCACTTTATGCCCATTCTTCAGAGGAAAAAGGCCTCTGTATAGGGATGGTGTTTTGATACTGCATATCGTGCAGGCTGAAGAAGAACACATTTCCCAGCTGTCATTTCCCACCCCATCCTGCGCGGTACAATTCAGGAAGTTCAAACATGAAACTGATATAAATCAGCCACCCAAAAGCTATCTGCTTTCCTAAATGACTCCGCCTTCTCCTTCTTTCAGCCACAGACCTGGAACTCCACCTCTATCCTCCTCTCTCTTGCCCTCCAGATCCTTCCACAGAACCAACATGTGTTCTTACCTTAAAAAATCCAGCTGCTTGAGAAGGCCTGATTGCTCCCTCTGCAAAGCTTCTGTCACTCTGTAAACCTCTCTAGAGGGAGAAATACACACACCATCAAACTCCACTTGTAGTATTGCTTAGATTCAGGTGGGGTCGCCATGTTGGTCTGAAGCAGTAGAACAAAGTTTGAGTCCAGCGGGGCACTTTGAAGACCAACAAAGTTTTATTCACAGGTATGAGCTTTCATGTGTCACACACACTTCCTCAAATACACTGGAATGGAATTTACCAGCTCATACATATAGGCAGGAGGTGAGCCATAAATTAGCACCCAACATAATGAAGATGTTTATCAGATGCAGGAATAACGAGCTTAGTTTATATGAATGAAGTTTGAATCCAGTGGCACCTTTAAGGCCAACAAACTTTTATTCATGGTGTAATCTTCTGTGTGCAAGCACACTTTGTCAGATACAGTGGGAAAAACCTCCTCAACCATTACTTATAGGGGGTGGGGTGGGGGTTGTTGTCAGAAAGGGCCATTGAGAGTCAAGATGCACAAGTACTAGGTGATTATAGCTGAGATTGGATGTAAGAAAGACCTGTGAATGGCAGTAAATTAGCATACAGATATGAGACTTAGCAAATGTGGGAACAGCACCTACAAGACAAATAAAGTTCCATTCTGGGTACAAGCAAGAACTGAGAGACCTAGTATGTCATGGAGGGCATATCTGTCAGGTTCAACAGCATGCAAGTCTCCACATACTTTTCAGGGGAAAGTTATGCTTTATTAGAATACAAGTCTGTTGCCGGGTTGTACAGGTACATTGTTAGAAATAACGGTTAGAGCAGATGCATCAATACATATACTCTGATGCGGCAGTTGGCTAAGCAAATGAAATCCGAGCGCGCACGCGGGAATTACATCATGAACGGGAGACTCTCCTCGCCCCATGAGAGCAGAAATATTCACACCGGCAGTGGAATGCAAGCTCCCTTTCCTCCTCAAGGTTACACAGATAGCACCATCTGGCAGAGCCAGTTCGCATGGTCTCATGAGTGCCTCCTGATAGTTACTCGCAGCCACTAAGCAAAGCAAACAAGCAAGAATGCGCGCAGGCGCTACAGTCAGGGATGAACGAAAACAATGAAAGCATGGCAGTGAGCTGACATTCTGCCCCCTCAAAAGACAACCAACCCCCTCCCCGGGAGATACTCGTGGAATTTTCACAAAAGGTCAGGGCCCCCAAATATCCCTTTGCCTCCCAGGAGTCTGACAGGGTGATACCACCAGCTGAGGAGGATGAAGAACACACAATACACACCGTGAGTGTAGAGATGTGCAACAATCATCATTGCTATCTAAAAAGACTTAAAGTGCCATGAAGGAACTGAAGTGCTTTGAACTGAAGGTGGTGGCCTTCAAGCAAACCTGAGAATTTTCTCATATGGCAGGAATATTGTGATGAGGAGTTAGGCTTCCATTAAGTCTAGCAAGGACAGGAAGTTATCACTCCTTATGTCTTCTGCAATGGACTTGCACCATCACAGTATGATTCTTAATATGTTGTGTCATACTATAATCCTTTACTGATGTCTGCATCCCATGATCAAGAGGCTGGAATCATCCATTATGTGTAGCAACCTAATTAATTCCAATCCATCACACAGATAACAGGATTCACACCAAACCCTGCTGTGCTTCAACCCCTCACTTTCCCCCTCGCTTTCTGTAAACTTCCTTATGTCAGCGTGGGATATGACTTCTTCTTCATAGAATCTGAAGTAGTGGATTCTGACCATGAAAGCTCATGCTGAAATAAATGTTGTTAGTTTTCAAGGTGCCACTGGATTTCTGTTTTATCTAAAAGTTACCGTTACTCACATTTCCTTTTCTTCCTGCAGTTTTTTTGCCTCATCCTGCAACATCTGCAACTGTTGTTGAGCAACAATTAACTCCTGGGACGTTCTCTCCACATCCTTGTGAAGCTCTTGGTTTGTGAGCTTCAGCCTGGTATTCTCCACTTTGGTCTCACACTTATCATCGTGGAGCTCTTTACACTGTCTCTCCAACTGAGAGGAAGAAGAAACACAACTGTATTGCCTTGTTAGCTATAAACACAAACATGCAAAGTGCTCCAGTGGTCACTCAGGAGATGATGTTTCCAGGGTTGTCCCTTGTGGTGTTCCAGTTCTGTGTCATTCATGTAGAAAATACTAGTGAGAAAATTAAAGGAATTCCCAGATGAGATTTTCATGTCATGTGCGCCAAGGGAAAAGCGGTTAGTTATTTATTCAACACATTTTTCATTGCTCAAAGTAGTTTACAATAAAAAGAAAATTACCTTTCCCTTCTCCCCACACCATTCCCAATATTATTAATAGAATCATAGAATTATTCCTGCCAACAAAAGTCCGTATGGTCAAAGCAATGGTATTCCCAGTAGTAATGTATGGCTGCAAGAGTTGGACTATAAGGAAGACCGAGTGCTTAAGAATAGATGCATTTGAATTATGGTGCTAGAGAAGACTTGAGAGTCCCCTGGACTGCAAGGAAATCAAATCAGTCAATCCTAAAAGAAATCAACCCTGACTGTTCCCCGGAAGGCCAGATACTGAAGCTGAAGCTCAAATACTTTGGGCACCAAATGAGAAGGGAGCACTCACTGGAGAAGAAGACCCTGATGCTGGGAAAGACTGAAGGTCAAAGAAGAAGATTCTTTTGAATTATGGTGCTGGAGAAGACTCTTGAGAGTCCCCTGGACTGCAGGGAGATCAAATAAGTCAATCCTAAAAGAAATCAACCCTGACTGTTCCCTGGAAGGCCAGATACTGAAGATGAAGCTCAAATACTTTGGCCACCAAATGAGAAGGGAGCACTCACTGGAGAAGAAGACCCTGATGCTGGGAAAGACTGAAGGTCAAAGAAGAAGATTCTTTTGAATTGTGGTGCTGGAGAAGACTCTTGAGAGTCCCCTGGACTGCAGGGAGATCAAATAAGTCAATCCTCACATAAATCAACCCTGATTGTTCCCTGGAGGACCAGAGACTGAAGCTGAAGCTCAAATACTTTGGCTACCAAATGAGAAGGGAGCACTCACTGGAGAAGACCCTGATGCTGGGAAAGATTGAAGGTAAAAGAAGAAGGGGACAGCAAAGGATGAGATGGTTAGACAGTGTTATCAATGCAACGAACATAAAGTTAAGCAAACTCCAGAGCACGACGGAAGACAGGAGGACCTGGCGTGATGTGGTCCATGGAGTCGCAAAGAGTCGGACTCGACTGTGTGACTGAACAACAACAACAACAACAACAACAGCAATTATTGAAATCAGTCTATTATGTGTCTGAATTTTTTTAATATGCAGATGTGCTGATGACTGTGTGTCAGTCTTGGCTGATATATTACTGTAACAAATAAGGATTGATTTATTGCTATTATGCCCAGATGACCACTTCTACTTGAATATCCAGATATACATGAGCATTTCATGCAAGGTGGATTTTCAGTGCACTTAAGATCTAGCAAAACATTTGGGTGAATTTCTGTAGACTATACAATAGAAGAAACAGTGAATAAAGATATACACCAGGAGGAACAAAGGGATTTAGTATCAGTCCAGGAGCTTTCAGTAAGTACTCTCAGGCACCAGAGTACAGGAGCATATTTCTGAAGATGTTTAGATGCGTGATTGGTCAATACAGCAATAAGATGACACATTCAGATTTTCCTCTGACTAGAATACAAAAAGATAAGGCAGATGTCCAAGCTGGTTGAATCCAGATTCAGATGGGTGTATCTGAAGAAGTGTGCTTGCACATGAAAGCCATCCCCAAACCAAAATTGAATGCTGATTAAAACATCAGCAAACAATACTGTTCCTCATCTCAATGGAGATGAAAAGAAGCAGGGTAGAATGCCAAACAGAAACCAGCAGAACCCACAGGAGCACCATGAATAACGGAGACATTTTCTTTTGCAGGGGTGGGAGGAGGAGGACGAAGAAGAGGAAGAGGAAGAAGAAGAAGAAGAAGAAGAAGAAGAAGAAGAAGAAGAAGAAGAAGAAGAAGAAGAAGAAGAAGAGATTGGATTTATACCCTGTCCTTCACTCAGAGTCTCAGAGAGACTCCACCCCACACGAGACAGCCCAAGCATGCCTCGTGGGGGCCGCGTTTGCCTCCTCGTGAGGAGGAGTTAGGCAGGCAGGCTGCGGTGGAGCCTTACCTCCAACAGGGGAAGCGGAGTCTGTTGTAGCCTTATTAGGCTACCCGCCCTGTATGTAGTGTAAGCATAGGCTGGTTGCCCTGTTTAATGGGGAGCCGGGTAGGAATTTTTTGGTTCCATTCTCGCATTGGCTATTGAGATGGGGTCTTTTTCACCTACCCTGCACTGCAGTCAGTGGATTGAGGAATTGGTCTGGGATGGTGCCTAGGGGCTAGTTCGTCACTTTGTTAGGGCAGAAGTAGGTTTAAATACAGTTCAGCGGCCAGCAAGCACCAATTAATAACCCCGGGTGAGGGTAGAGGGGTATGCTCGACCAACCTTGTAGCCGTGCAGCCTGGGTGAGGCTTGCAGACCGCCTATGGGGATGGTCACGACGGAGACTCAGCGCTGGCCATGCGGTGGTGTTTGAGGGCTCCCGAGGGCGCATCCCAATCTTGGCTCGGCTGGGTTTGTAAGCGACTTACGGTTGGCTCCAACCCAGGGGGCCGTGATGTCTTGCCGTTCCTATGGTTTGAGGATGGGAGTCGAAGCGACGCCAGGCCCGGCCGTGCCGCTGTTTTCGTAGTTGCCCTTTGCCGTTAAGTTAATAAGTTAATAATTTAATAAAGTGGCCTTATTTCATCCAACCTTGTTGTCTTACTATTTCTTCCATCTGGGGGGGCATTTACAAACTCCTTTCCCTTTCCCTCCCCACAACAGACACTCTGTGAGGTAGGTGAGGCTGAGAGAGCTCTGACAGAAACTGCTCTTTTTCAAGAACAGCTGTGACTGAACTATGGCTTGCCCTATGTCATCCAGCAGCTGCGAGTGGAGGAGTAGGGAATCAAACCCACTTCTCCCAGATTACAGTCCACGCACTTAACCACGACACTAAACTGACTCTCAACCAAATCTGTGCTAATAGCCTTTTTCCTCCAGCTCATAATGTTCCAGGATAAGATCTTTAGGACTGGTTCTTGGCACCATTGGATAGTCAATCAGATTCCGATATCTTGTCCATAACTCCCCTGTGATCAAGAAATACACTGCCATTTTTAGCAGTATTTTTGGATGTCTTTGTTGGTAAATGTGGTATATCATCAGAGTCAGAAGCAACTTGGGGCACTGTTGAACACAGTACAGTATGATCAGTATCAGGGGAGGATGAGTAGATTCCGGGGGCACAGCATGGAGATTTGGCTTGTGTTTACATATGGGGAGCCAGTAAAATTAGAGTTGAACTAGACTCAGTAAACAGAATGCAATTGTTGCATAACTGGGACCATCAAGCCCAGTCTTTGGGTGGTACATACGTAGCGGGTCACACCGGTTTTCAGCCTCGCATGCCACCTGTATCAAATTATTGAGTGTCAGGGGGTTGCCCTGAGCCAGGGCTTTTATGTCAGACTCTTGAACAAAGTTACTCTCAACAACACTCTCTGGCAGTGATTTGTTTATTGAGAAATAAAGATGTTCCAAGCTAATAGCAGTACTGTGTCAGAACTGAGGTTCTGACACCAAAACCCATAGTTCTAATAAGGCCCCCTTGGGTTCCATCCAATCACACTCTACAACCATCCTGCCTAGCTTTCGCGCACTCTACACCCCCACCTGCAAATCTACCGTTATGCTTATCTATGATAGGGAAGCAAGCACAGACACTATCCAAGGTCATCCCTGAGGAGGGAGGCTGCTTAAGAAGAGTTACATCACCACTACAACAGAGCCATTCTCACACTCATGCACTCACACACAACCCTCTGGAATTTCCCTCCCTTAGCAGGCCTCAAATCCCCATAAAACATGGCAAATGAGAGTCCGAGTTTGACATTTTACCACAAACATTTCTAATAGATATCTTTTTCCAAGGGACAGGGACATGTCCCCCCCAGTCCCTTGAATATTTCTTCAGATCCTCCTTTAGAATCTCCTACTTACATTGCTATTATAGATGAACTTCTGGGGGGGAAATGGAAAAAAACAACAAATAGACTTGGAAGTGCTGGCAGATCAGACACTCTTAGTATTTAACGCTCTACAGAAAGTCTTTGAAAAATTAGATATATTATCAAAACTTATTGAAGATTTTCTGGTAAAGGGGAGTAAGGACAATATGGGGTGTAAGGGTTGTAGATATTTAGAAACGAAAGGAACAGTGGAATCTACTATACCAATGAGAAAACAAGATCTAAGTAAACAAGGTGAAGGGGTGGTTTATCAATCTAAGAGTAAGGATGGGGAGGATGGGGTGACTGACATAAGAAAATGATGGGGGGGGAAACCCTGTATCAAATTTGGATCCCCTTGCTCACCCTTTGATCCTTGATAGTAAAAGAAATTGTACTGAACATACTACCCTAAAATGGTTGAATGATAAGCTGGATGAATAAATGGGCAGTTAAAGAACATCTATCTTATCTGCTACATAAACATCCATCTTCCATTGACAAAATTTGTGGAAAGAATTCCAGGTTTCCTGAGGGGGGATAGAGTTAGATTTCATTTTTGTTCCCCATGGATACCAACATTAATACTCTCAATGCAGGAATATTTAATAAAATTACAGGTCTTCCTGGTACCATCATTCCATCAAAAAGGGAAGACCCCCCTCTTAAGGAATTCAGAGGTTTCATCTCAGCTAAGGAGAAGTAGAAAAAGAACATGCCCTCAAGCCCAGTCAAACAGAAGATGATTGTGAACTTCTTATCAACCTCACCTCCCTGGAGCCAGCATCTAAGCAGTGCACTGATTTCATGAACAATCCAAAGCACCTTTGGAAACTTGAAAAACCACCACTTCAAAATGACTCTATTAACATATACCTCCCCACAGCTGAACATGGCTACTATAGTAAAATGGGCCTCACAG